TAGGTGGGAGGAGGGGATAGGTGGGAGGAAGAACCGGTTAGGGAGGCAGGGACGAGCTGGACTGGTTTTGGGATGCAGTGGGGGGAGGGGAGATTTTAGTTTGACTTTGTCTCTTGATAACAATTTTTTTTGAAAAAGAAAGACAATGCTGAGTCACCCTACATTCAAGGATCACAGTTTCAAATCAACTTGAAAGATAATTTGGCACCACAAGGTCAGAAGACTAGTTTACCAGTTAGGAATGGGTTCATGAAACAACTAGATACATTTCTAGATAAAGAGAAGGTGTTCTCTTTCAGAATTCTTTAATCCAGCTCCTGTGGCATAATGGTAAAGCCTTACCTAGGGGCTGAAAGATCCAGGTTCAAGCACCATGACATGCAGGTTAATCACAACATGTCTGAACAGGTTAATTAATTATGATACAATGTGCCCAATGGCCTCTTTCAAAGCTGTAAAACTCTAAGTTACCTGTCAAACCGTATGCTCATCACCAATTCAAAATCAAACAAGATGCCTAATGTTAGATACAACAAGATACTGACCATTAGAGGATTCACTGTCAAGATTTTTCAGATCCTCAGCAACAGAGGGCTCAGTAAAGAGCTCATCCAGAGATTTAATCTCACTTTGTTCAGATGGGGAAAATGGATGCCGTTTTACAAACTTCATCCGTGGAGACTGGCTCAGAGGGGTACCCACACTGGGTGGTGAGGGCATTCTCAACGGGCTCCTCTGGTGGTTTCTCATGATAGACTATAAGGAAAGCAAAATGCAAGTCAATGAATATCATGAGCTAAAACATGTCAGCAAGTATAACCAATATTTATAAATTTACACCAATAGATTAATAAACAAATGTTACACCTAGACCAAGGATTAACATATAGAACAGGATAGGTTTCAATATCTTATTGAAGTTCAATGCTCCAAGTAAGTGATCTATACACTTTCTTAGTTACAATGGTGTTCTGCACCCAATAACTATGAAGTTGTATTTTAAACCTTGCACATCACCCTACAAATGAAGCAAGTAACAGTTCTCTCAAGTTCAGAGTCCAAAACTAGAGGGCATAGGTTTAAGGTGAGAGGGAAAAGATTTAAAAGGCATCTAAGTGGCAACTTTTTCACGCAGAGCGTGGTGCATATATGGAATGAACTGCCAGAGGAAGTGGTGGAGGCTGGTATAATTACAACATTTAAAAGGCATTTGGATGGGTATATGAGTAGGAAGGGTTTAGAGGGATATGGGCCAAATTCTGGCAAATGGGACTGGATTTATTTAGGATGTCTGGTCGGCATGGACGAGTTGGACCTAAGGGTCTGTTTTCGTGCTGTATGTCTCTATGACTCTAATCCTTCAGTCGTGAGTGTATTTTGCAGCGCAGCTACTGATAGAGAATTCTCCTACAAAGCCACTACTGGGACAGAGTTGACACCATATTCTTGATACAACTAGATGATTTGGAGTAGGCCATAGTAAGTACAATCTCAAATTTTGCCAATAACTGCTTCACAAACAGCGAGGATGAGTCTGTGAAAATATTCAGGCATTCACAGCATGAGTAGGCAAGTGGCAAATGTAACTTAATGTAGGTGAGTGTGAACATGTGGGTTAACAGAGATCCTAAAGTTTAAGAAAGATAATTTCCTGAAGGTACAAACACAGTTGAATAAAAGTTATAAAAGAGATAGTGTTTTGCGTTTTATGAATAGGGGTATATAGTACAATAAAAAAAGGTTTGTACAAAATATTAATGAGGTCACTGTACTGTAGAGAAGATTTTAAAGCTATGGGAAGGCCCAGGGAGGATTAATCACAGCAACATTAAGACAATGGGGAGCCACTGATATAAGAAAAAACAGGAAAATAATAACTAGGACACTGAAGGTCAAGAGTAGATTTTGACATTGAAGGTTTTGATAGACTGATTAGGAAAATACATTCATCTGTTTGGGAAGCCTATGATGAAAATCAAATTGAGTGAGGTAGGATGTTCAGGGAATGAAACTTATAACCATTGATGTAACCACTACAATGTTTAAGGTAAAATTTTATAAATAAGGAGATACATCAAATGCAATGGTATGAATGTGCTTTAAAATTGTACCGTTTTATCGGTAATTAACCATACAGTATAGTCAATGTCTTTTTGGTGGAAAAGATTCAATTGTGTTACAAACCAGGGCAATTAGAGGAAGTATTAACAAGAACCTACCAATTTATGATACAATTACTACCTTGTCCCCCCCAACAGCACTAGCCACAAGAAGCTTCAAAGCATGAAATAAGAACAGTAATAATCAAAACAGGCAGTTGCTGCTCTAGGACGATGAGGTCTACCAGCTAATGGACCAATTTCACATCCTCTCACAGGATATCTGCTATAATGCCCAGATATGACACTCATTGCTGAACCAATTTGTTGACTGAAAATCCAGGCATTTCTGTACCCTGGTGCAATTACGAACTTCACAAATTATATCTGACTGGAGAATCTCTGCGGAAATCCACCAAGATTGGTGCATGATGTAACACTTGAACCTTGTCTTAATAGATCCTACTGCATTCAGTTCTGTTAAGTAGAAAACGTGAGCACCAATGCACTGCTAAGCCATGTGTGGGCATGGTCAACCAGCATCCCAGAAGATACCGTGTAGGCCTTATTCCCAATTAAAAGTCATGCACTTGTATCGAAAAGCTGGCTATGCTTTACAATAACCTTTTACAGGTAACAGTGATAAGCACCCCACTGTTACCTTTCACTTCCCTTCCTCTTGTGTAATCCAATATGAATTCCACTGGCCCACATACACACTTTAGTGTATTCTGACAAATTGACTCCCTGGGTAAACCCACTAGTTAGCCTGCCTAACTACACATTTATAAATTCTGCAGTAATCTGCAAAGCAGCATTTATTTCGTATTCTAAGACACATTCTAAGAAAAGGATTTAAATTCTTGCACAACAAAATAAAAAAAATCTGAAATTAAGGCAAAATCTTTTGATGCACTTTCCCTTTAAATTGCTCTCAACTGCATTTCATTAACAATTATAAAATCATAAGAAGCATAGATAAAGTGAATAGCAAGGGTCTTTTCCCTGGGATGGGGGCTTCAAAATTACGGGGCATATTTTTAAGGTGAGAGGAGAAAGTTTTAAAAAGGACATGAGAGGCAACTTTCTTACGCAGAGAGTGGTTCATGTGTGGAATGAACTGCCAGAGGAAGTGGTGGATGCAGATACAGTTACAATATTTAAACTACAATATTGGGTAAGCACTGAATAGGAAAGGTTTGGAGGGATATGGGCCAAATGGAGGCAAGCGGGACTAGTTTAGTTTGGGAACATGGTTGGTGTGCACTAATTGAACCTTTCCTCCAATTCTGACCTCTCGTTCACCTAAACTTCTTTCTTCCTACCATGCCTTCAGTCACATCAGCTCCACTGTCTGAAATTTCCACACTTGGGATCTCTGCTCTCTCTCCATTTTTTGAGATTTAACATTTTGATGACGCTTTTTGTCACTTGCCTTAGCATCAATTTATGTGGTTCACTACTAAACACTGTCTGACAATGCTCTTGTAAAGCAACTTGGAATGTTTAACTATATTAAAGAAGTAATGTAAATGAAAGCTGATGAAGTACTAGTGTGTAGATACATTACCTGGTTATGTAATTTGGAACCATGTTGTGGAGCCTTGTGTGATTGTTTTGTAAGTTCACTTTCATCAGTAAGTTTAAAGGAGCCTCTTAGCATCCTTTTCACTTCCTCCTCATCACTGTCGACCACAACCACTTTGCCTGGAGATCTAGGATGTCCATTCTGCTGGTCTTTCTTTGAAGATCCAATTTCTTTCTTCAGATCCCTGACATTGGTCTCCTGCTTTGTTGCAGTATTTGCTGTTCTCTTCAAGAACCTGCTCCCTTTTCCACTTAACTCACTGCTTGACTTGGGCGAAATCTGCTTTTCGTCAGAACTGCACAAATACTCATCAGAATCGATCGTGCATGCATTCAGTCTTCTGTTCATGATTCTGCTTTCTATTTGTGCCAGTCTGGCAAGTGTAGCACTGGAGGATCTGCTCAACACAGAGGCAGTACTCGGTTTTCTTGTGTTTATCTCATTAGCTTTCTTCAACATGCTCTTGCTCATGGTAGGACTTTGTGATACTGCCAGTTTGTTTGGTTTCTTCAAAAACCGACTGCCTGTCAATGTCAGCTCCCTGATGCCTTCTACTGGCATTACAGTGGCTGCAGTTTTTGAATATCGATTCTCCTTCCATTCTTTGTCTACAGTATCCTCTGTTGAAAAATCACTTAAATCACTAACTTCATGCAAGTTGAATGGATTAACCTTCAGGGTATTGTTTTTCTTATACAGTGCGCTCATATATTCCTGCAAATAAGAGTAAAAATTTAGAAAAGGAATTCTACTCTTGTTTCAAGGAGAAAGTGGAAGTTTAGTGGTAGAACAGACATGGTCAATACTTGTAATTCCCAATGTGAAATGAGCCACAAGAACAGGCTTTGAGATTAAGTCAGAAACTTAATCGTAAGGGGGAACAGCAAAAACATAATGAGGGAGGGGAGTATTCTGCATATTCAAGCAGTGAGTTTAAAACTTTGATTGGCAAAATTTTCATAGAATACTTAATCCCTATGTGCCAGGAAGTTAAAGTACCACTAGGGTTTAAACATATGTTTAAATGAGAAACAAGGGTGTATATACTTCAGCTCTGGTGTTTGTTTAATTAGAAAAGGCATGATGTGGCAGAATACAGAGGCACACAAACTTAACTGATCTCAGCTGAGGAAGTTATTGAAGTCCTAAAGAGATAAGAAGGATGAAAAGTAACAGAAGACTGAAAAAGAAATACCTATAAAGTGCTTACATGAAGAACAGGGGATTGATAAATGGCAGGAGTGTTACTAGCTTCAGACAATAATATAATGATAAAAATACCTCAATGAGAAGAAATATGATTGTTACATTTATAAGTTTTTAAAGATTGTTATATTTTGGTACTTCAGCTTTAAGTTTAAATAAAGGGAGTCACGTGACTTGTTTTGCATTAATGACAGTAGGTCTGGGTGGTTTGATTGTTAAGAAACTAGGGAAGACTTGGATTGTTTCACTGAGAAGGTGATGCAAGATATTTATGCTTGTAGACAAAAACACAGTCTCTGAATATACCATAAGTAGACCACGAATCTTTCAAAGTTCAGTGAGGTATTATTGATTTCACATTTAAACACTTGGGCTCTGAACAGTCCACTTCTTAGATGAAAGGGATTTGTGATCAAAGACAATTAATTAGTAATGTTACCAAGATTCAAGGCTAATGTGTGTCATGTTTCTATGGGGAAAGACAGCAAAGTAAGCTATTTTGAGATCAGGTTAGAGTCTTTCTTACAAAGCAATGGGTATATCACAGATAGACAGCAGGTTGTTTGACAAGGTTTACAACCATCTGAGAGACAGAGAACAGGTGGTAGAGGTTACCAGTTCTGCACATCAAGCAGAGAAAATGCTGACTCTATTGTTCACCAAACAGAACATAGGTGGGAGTTTTTTTTCCTCAGACTGAAAAATCAAAGGGAATTTGGATAAGGCAGGCAGATTCAGCTAGAGATAAAGAATCTGCAGTGGAACCCTCGCAGTGAAATACAGTTTCGAAATCAGCAGTTACCAGGCTGGGAAGGTAAAAATGAAGTAAGCCATCAGTAGCTATGAATAATACTAAAGATGTTCCTAGAAGGTGACATGACCAGTTCAGATGCAATGTAATATATAACTGCAGACAGAGAGAGAGAGACAGATTTTTGATTATGATTGAAGTTACATAAGAAATATCTTCTGTATTTTAACATTATCACAAAAAAGTGTCATCAATAGTATTATTTAGTTATTTGTTACAGTAAAAGTTTTCACACCTGAAATTTTGACATGTTATTCTTTCAGCTACTAACCGGAAGCTTGAATTTTATCGGAAGGTCATCAGGTTCTCTGGAGATCGTTACATGAGACACACATTGTCAAACGGTTGGGAACAGAAGAATAGATACAGGAGGAAAAAAAATGGCATAAAGTCAAACAGTTCCCAGCAACCCAAGAGCCTGATAAGGATAAGGATCACCTCCATAAGTTATCAAAAGGATGCCTTTGAAGGCAATTTTTAAAAATTACCCGCAGTTCGTCCCCAGAGTCTTCGAAGATTCCTGATATTCTCTGTCCAGAGAGCTGAGCTTGGGCTCTTGCCAGAGCAGAACTCCCCAGTCCACTTCTCCTGAACATCCTTATATAAGCAAACACAAAGTCAAGAAAGAGGAGTCACAAAGCAGCATCCTTCCAGTGATAAATAAAATGCATTTGTAAAAAGCAGAATCTCTCCTCCTTTCAAAACAGCCCCAGTGTATTAGTTTACTTAGTAAAAGGACAGCTTGCAAACTACTGGTTAGCAACCTACCCTTCAATTAAGTGGTGTATCAGGATTCAACTAAAATACAAAGGAAAGAGTTCCTCAATGTTTCCTGGTAAACATACCTTGTCTAGGCTTAACTGGAGCAGCAAGGAGAACATGGTTTTAAGGTCAACAACATTGATCTTTGTACCATAACCTCCACTGGAAGTTGTCAAGCTGTTGTTGCACAGGGGTTTGGAGTGTTGCAAAACTTTTCTGTGGTCATAACTAGTTCTGAATACAGTACAATATGTATTGTGAAGATACCCATATAGGAACTAATGATGGTTTGGCAGGGAATCTACCCCGAGGAACTCCTGGAATTCTGCAGCTGAGATTATTGGCCTCCAACCATATCACTTTTCTTTGTGCTAGTTATGACTTCACACAGCGGAGAGCTTGCCCCCTTATTCTGTTGACTTCAATTTAGCCAAGGCTCCTTGGTGGCAGATTTGGTTAAATGCTGCCTCTTGTCAAGGGAAATTATTCTCACCTCACTCCTAAAATTCAGCTCAATGTTTGGACCGAGGCATTAATCATGTTGCGAGCTGAGTGATTTCAGCAGAATCCAAATTGAAGGTCAATTAGTAGGTTATGCTAAGTAAGTGACGTTTGATAGCATTGTCATTGACATTGTCCATCACTTTGTTGATGATCAAAAATAAACTTATGAGGCAATAATTGGTCAGACTGGGTGTGTCCTGTTTGTTCATGCAAAGGATATACCCAGGCAATTCTCTTCATTGTCTGACAGATGCCAGTGTTACAGTTGTACTCAAACAGTTTAACTAGAGCTAGTTCTGGAGCACAACTCTTCAGTATTATTGTCAGAATACTATCAGGTCCTCCAGATGTTAAATTGTCTATCACCATTCATCACTGGATATGGCAGGACTTCAGAATTTTGGTTTAATCTGTTGGTCGTAGGCTTGTTTTGCCCAGTCTATAGTATGTTGAAATGAAATACAGTGACACTGATGTACAGGAATACTAATAAAGCTATGACTCAGCTGGTAGCCCTCTCACGTGAGTCAGAAGCATGTGGATTGAAGTTCCACTCCTAAACGCTGGCACGAAAGTCTAGGTTGACTCTCCAGTTCTGAGAGCGTTCTGCACTGTCTTTATGTTATGACATTAAACTGTGACGCCGTACATACTCTCAGGCAGACATTTAAAGATCCGATAGTAGGAGTTTAAACAAGAGCGGCAAGTTATCCCAAGTCTCTTGGTCAATATTTACATCTCATTCAACATCACAAAAACTGATTATCCAGTCGTCACGTTGATATATGTAGGATCTTGCTGTGAGCAAGTTTGCTGCCACAGCTCCTACATAAATTAGTGAACAGCTCTCCAAAGTACTTCGTTTACTTTTTGAGCACTTTGGCACATACGGCGGTCGTGAATGGCGCTAGATAAATGCCAGAATCTACCCTTTGAAAACACCGCAGGTAGCAAAAATCAGAAACAAAAATAAAACGTAAGCGCGGGAGGCACACATTATTTTATAACCTGCGTGGAGGGCAGGAAGATGTTTCAGGACGAAAAGACTTTGAAATGGGTTGTCTGGGGAGCGGCGGGAGATGATGTTAACACGAACCTTGAGCCGTGTGGCTCTCTCTACAGATAATAAGGTGTAGAGCTGGATGAACACAGCGGGCCGAGCAGGAAGGCTGACATTTCGGGCCTAGACCCTTCTTCAGAAATGGTGGGGGGAGGAGAGAGAGAGAAAGAGAGAGACAGGGGGGATGGGGGGAGGAGTGGGAGGTGGGGAGGGGGAGTGGGAGGGGGAGAGGGGGTTCTGAAATAAATAGGGAGTGACGGGGGAGGCGGATAGAAGATGGATAGAGGAGAAGATAGGTGGAGAGGAAACAGACAGGTCAAAGAGGCGGGGATGGAGCCAGTAAAGGTGAGTGTAGGTGGGGAGGTAGGGCGGAGATAGGTCAGTCCAGGGAGGACGGACAGGTCAAGGGGGCGGGATGAGGTTAGTAGATAGGAGATGGGGCTCTCTCTACAGTTGCTGACAGACCTGGCCGGGATGGGGCGTTTGTCTTTATAATAAATAAAGTAACAAACACACTCCTCAAACTTACACAGCGCTTCTAATCTAACTAAAACTGTCCAAACTGGTGCGGAGGATCGAATAAAGTGAACCTACCTCCAACTGTGGGCCCAGACTCCCGCTGTTGCCTAGTTACCTGGCCCTGGTGTTACACGGTAGGAGTTCCGGGTCCCGGATTCCGGTAGTATCCTCATTTCATTCCGGGTTGTCCCTTGTGCTTCTGTAGTGGGAAGAATTCGGATCCCAGCACTGAGTAAATATTACCTTTAATTAATCTTAGTTACAATAACAGTTGAAGAATATATTGCCTTACAAAAAGAATGTCATTTTTAGTATATTAAAGTGAAGATATTATCCTCTGACTAATGAACTCGTAGACCGTTGTGATCGCAGGATGATTATAGTTGAAGAAAGCCATTTGGTCCGTTCAGAGAGGTTCTGGACTCCCCATCATTGTAGCATCAGTTTGTTTCTCAAAGCTTTCGTTTCCCGCTGTTCATGGTTATGATGTCTGTGAAAAAGAGCCAAAAAAAACAAACCGCGGATGCTGGAAATCAGTAACAAACTATTGGAGAAACTCAGCAGGTCTGGCAGCATATGGAGAGGAAAAAAACAGAGATAACGTTTCGGGTCCAGAAAAAGAACTCTGCTTTCTAATCTAAATTTCTCCCTTTCCTAATTTTAAGGTGTGGCCCTTGTTTTGCAGGGTCAGATTTTCCTATTTATATTATCTTGTCAACTGTTATAAGTTCATCTCTGAGAAGTCCCCTCTTGAGAATAAAATATTGTGTTTCTCATTTTTTCAGCAATATTTTTGAACGGTGATAATGCTATAATTTGTTTTATCTATGGCTGTACACTGCAGAAACGGTCCCAATTCAGACCGAAATAGTCCGCCCATAAATGTTTTAGCTCCACAAGAGTCTCTTCCCATTCCTCATCATTTAACCCATTTAGCATAATATGCAGAGATAGTAGGAACTGCAGATGCTGTAGAATCTGAGATGACGAAGTGTAGAGCTAGATGAACACAGCAGGCCAAGCAGCATCAGAGGAACAGGAAAGCTGACTTATCGGACCTAGACCCTTCTTCAGAAATGTCACAGCATAATATACAATTCATCTAGTCTTCCCATAAAGGGATTCATCCTACTTACCCCAACTAGTCCTTGTGGTAGCAAGTCCCATATTCCAATGATTCACAAGATAAAAGATGTTTCTGCTGAATTCCTGATTGGATTTATTAGTAATTATATATTTACAGCTCTTATTTTTGTTTTCTGCCACATTTGAAAATATCTCCTCTGTGTCTAACCCCCACAGCCTTAGGAATATCAGGTCATCACGTGAACCCCACCCTTCTCTCGAAAAGAGGCCCAGCCTGCAATCTTTCCTACTGGGTATAATCTCCACTGTAGAAATAATGATCATCGTAACACAAACAGTTCTATACTCTGTCAAATGCATTAGAGATGTCCAGGTAAATCACAATGAATCATACTATGCCAAAACATAGTTTTGGAGTTGCATAATCTTGACTAGAATTGCAAATTGAACAGACACAAAAACGAACATAAACTTTCATGGCAGTGGATACTTTGGCAGTAGGCAGCAGCTTCTGTAGTTTTAATAATAAGGCAGTCATAGAAAGGAAGGACAAAGAGAGATTGCCTTACTTGTATTTAGGATTGAACAAAAGAATCAAAATGGAAATGGGTGCTTAGAATGAGAAATATGGAATTGCTGGATTTGGGTACAGACTGTCATTTTCATGGCTAATTACAACTGAGCCTGAGATGTTTTGGTGAAGAGTGGAAGTTCTGAACAGGATACCAAGAATTAAACTCTGCAGTTAGAATGGTAAAACAGAGTTGTTTCATTTCAGGATCATAGTTGGAATCAGAGGAGAAAAGTGAGCTCAAAAAAGTTGCATTTCTTTATAAGAAATAACAATGCAAACAACATGATGGGAGATGGGAAAGAAGGTTCGGTTGACTGGTTTTGAATAAGATGCTGGGGGGTGGTGGTGATGACCAGAATGATTATAGTTGATTGTTTATTTTCAGCCAAATTACATTTACCATTCTGTTTGTCTTATATAGAAATTGAGTTCAAATCAAGGTTGACTTGAAATGTTTTGACAAAAATGATTTGTACGAAGGGTAGGATTTCTGTACATAACAATGCCTTATTTGATGGTCTGTGAAAATAAATTAAAGAACATTCTGCAACCAAAGGACGTGAACAGTACACATGCGATTTCAAATCATTTGCACTTTATGTGGACCATGCACTGGCTGGGTCATGAACTAACTGCTGAAAATATCCCTTGCTCCAATACTCTTCCAAACACCCAAGATTTCCAACAGTTTAAAACTCCCAAATTCTACTCGAGAATTTTTAGTCACCTTGACTATTGCTGCAATCAACCTGCTGAAAAACTCATTTACTTTCCAAATAAAAACCGAAAGAACTGCAGATGCTGTAAATCAGTATCCTTCTGAGGAAGGGTCAATGGACCTGAAACGTTAACTCTGATTTTTTCTTCACAGATGCTGCCAGACCTGCTGAGCTTTTCCAGCAACTTCTGTTTTTGTTCCTCATTTACTTTCCAGGTCTTTCCAAAGATAAGGCTGAAGATTTCACAGCAGTCTTCAGCCAGAAGTGTTGAGTGGATGATCCATCTTGGCCTCCTCCAGTGGTCTGCAGCATTACAGTTACCAGTCTTCAGCCAATTCAATTCAATCCACTTAATATCAAGAAACGGTTGGAGGCACTGGATACTGCAAAGGCTACGGGCCCTGACAACATTCCAGCAATGGTATTGAAGACTTATGCTCCAGAACTTGCCGCTCCCCTAGCCAAGCTGTTCCAGTACAGTTACAACACTGGCATCTACCCGATAATGTGGAAAACTGCCCAAGAATGTCTTGTACATTGAAAGCAGGACAAATCCAACCCAGCCAATTACTGCCCCATCAATCTACTCTCGATCATCAGTAAAGTGATGGAAGGTGTCATCAACAGTGCTATCAAGAAGCACCTGCTCAGCAATAACCTGCTCAGTGACGCCCAGCTCAGGTTCTGCCAGGGCCACTCACCTCCTGACTTCATTACAGCCTTGGTTCAAACATGGACAAAAGAGCTGAATTCCAGAGGTGAGAGTGACAGCCCTTGATATCAAGGGTGCATTTGACTCTATGTGGCATCACAGAGCCCTAGCAAAACCAGAATCAGTGGGTATCAAGGGGAAAATTCTCCAGTGGTTGGAGTCATACCTGACATACAGGAAGATGGTTGTGGTTGTTGGAGAGCAATCGTCTCAGCTTCAGGACATCTCTGCAGGAATCCTCAGGTAGTGTCCAAGGCCCAACCATCTTCAGCTGCTACGTCAATGACATTCCCTCCATCATAAGGTCAGAAGTGGGATGTTTGCCGATGATTACACAACATTCAGCACCATTCACGACACCTCAGATACTGGAGCAGTCCATGTTCAAATGCAACAAGATCTGGACAATGTCCAGGCTTGGGCTGACACTAGCAAGTAACATTCGCGCCACACAAATACCAGACTATGACCATCACTAATAAGAGACAATCTAACCACCATCCGTTGGCATTCAATGGTGCTACCATCAGTGAATCCTCCACTATCAACATCCTGAAGTTATCATTGATCAGAAATTGGACTGGACTCACCACATAAATGCAGTGGCTACAAGAGCAGGTCAGAAGCGAGGAATACTCTGGCAAGTAACTCACTTCCTGACTCACCAAAGCCTGTCGACCATCTATAAGGCACAAGTCAGAAGTGTGATGGAATACTCCCCACTTGCCTGGATGAGTGCAGCCCCAACAACACTCAAGAAGCTTGAAACCATCCAGGACAACGCAGCCCAATTGACTGGCACTGCATCCACAAGCGTCCACTCCTTCCGCCACCAACATGCAGTAGCAGTGGTGTGTACTATCTGCAAGATGCACTGTAGAAATTCACCAAAGATCCTCAGACAGCACTTTCCAAACCGACAACCACTTCCATCTAGAAGGACAAGGGCAATAAGGCCCTCCAAGCCACTCAACAAATTGGAAATATATCGTTGTTCCTTCACTGTTGCTGGGTCAAAATCCTGGAATTCCCTCCCTCATGGCATTGTGGGTCAACCCACAGCAGGTGGACTACAGCGGTTGAAGAAGGCAACTAGGGACAGGCAATAAATGCTGGCCAGCCAGCGATGCCCACATCCCGCAAAATGAATAAATGTAAAACAATCTGTCACTATCTCCCATCTTCATTGTTTGTATTAACTCCTCCAGGTTTATAGTTGGGAGCACTAAGCCGAGGTTACTAACTCCTTTTAGTTGCATCTTTCTATTTCTTGCAGTGACTTGGATCTATACAACATTTTCTTCACTGTTGTTGGGTTGAAATCCTGGCATTCCCTTTTTAACAGCAATTTGGATTTACCTATACCAGTTAGAACATAGGATGTAGAACAGTACAGCACAGTACAGGTCCTTTGGCCCACGATGTTGTGCTGAACTTTTACCCTAATCCTAAGGTCTATCTAACCCCACCCCTACCTTATACTATCATCCATATGCTTATCTAATAGTCGCTTAAATGCCCCTAATGAGGCCGACTACACCACCCTCTCCGGCAATGCATTCCACGCCCCGACCACTCTCTGAGTAAAGAACCTACCTCTGACGTCTCCCCTATATCTACCTCCACTCACTTTAAAACTATGTCCCCTCGTAATAGCTACCTCCAACCTAGGAAAAAGTCTCTGGCTGTCCACTCTATCTATACCTCTGATCATTTTGTACACTTGTATCAAGTCACCTCTCATCCTTCGTCATTCTAAAGAGAAAAGCCCTAGCTCTCTCAACCTTTCTTCGTAAGACCTCCCCTCCGTTCCAGGCAACATCCTGGTAAATCTCCTCTGCATCTTTTCCAACGCTTCCACATCTTTCCTGTAATGAGGCGACCAGAACTGGACACAATACTCCAGATGTGGCCAAACCAAGCTTTTGTATAACTGGAGCATAACTTCACGGCTCTTGAACTCAATCCCTCTATTAATGAAAGCTAACACACCATATGCCTTCTTAACAACTCTATCCACCTGGGTGGCAGCTTTCAGGGAACTGTGGACATGAACCCCAAGATCCCTCTGCTCCTCCACATTGCCAAGAATCTTTCTGTTAACCCTGTATTCTGCTTTCAAGTTTTTCCTTCCAAAATGAATCACCTCACGCTTTTCAGGGTTAAACTCCATCTGCCACTTCTCAGCCCAGCTCTGCATCCTATCAATGTCCCTTTGTAACCTAGAACAGCCCTCCACACTGTCCACAACGCGACCCACCTTCGTATCGTCCGCAAATTTACTAATCCACCCTTCCACTCCTTCATCCAAATCATTTACAAAAATCACAAATAGAAGAGGACCCAGAACAGATCCTTGTGGTACACCACTCGTAACTGAGCACCATGTTGAATATTTTCCATCCACTACCACCCTTTGTCTTCTAAGGGTCAGCCAATTCTGAATCCAATCTGCCACATTTCCCCCTATCCCATGCCTCCTTACCTTCTGCATGAGCTACCATGGGGAGCCTTATCAAACGCCTTACTTAAATCCATGTATACCACATCCACTGCTCTACCTTCATCCACGTATTTGGTCACCACTTCAAAGAATTTAGTAAGGTTTGTGAGGCATGATCTACCCCTCACAAATCCATGCTGACTATCACGAATCAAACTGTGCCTTTCCAAGTGATCATAAATCCTATCTCTCAGAGCCTTTTCCAATAATTTGCCCACCACTGACGTAAGACTAACTGGCCTGTAATTTCCGGGGTTATCCTTATTCCCTTTTTTAAACAAGGGAATGATGTTTGCCTCTCTCCAATCTTCCGGCACTATACCCGTGGACAGTGAGGACGAAAAGATCATCGCCAAAGGCCCTGCGATCTCTTCCTTCGCCTCCCATAGAATCCTTGGATAAATCCCATCAGGCCTGGGGGATTTATCTATCTTCAACTTCCTCAAAATTCCTAGCACATGTTCCTTACTAACAGCACCTCCTCTAGCCTACCAGCCTGTTTCACACTGTCCTCCTCTACAACGAGGTCCCTCTCAGTTGTGAATACTGAAGAAAAGTATTCATTAAGCAGACTTAAGTAGACTGCAGCAGTCCAAGGTGGTGGCCCATCAACAACTTCTCAAGTACAGTTATGAAAAAGCAACCAATATTGGC